ATCTCGATAACTCTAAATGGTTGATTAGTATCATTTGGTTCTGGGTCGTCTCATATAGGAAAATCTATACATTTAAAATTAGGCGGCTTTGCCGCAGATAAAAAACATAAAGTCAGGTGTTAGATTTAAACGTAGAAGTTTGTTAGCCTTGGGTTAAGGCCATAATTACTCTTGGAGTAAGCAGATTGCGATTCGCTAAACTCGTACTTGTCCTGAGTATAGAACGAAAGGTCGGTGACCTAACTTTCGCTTCCTCAAATCGCAAAGCTACGGCAGCCCCGCTGCAATGAGGATGTCGATATTGGTACATAGACCCTTGAGGATTGGGACGGAGAAGATCTTACTGTTTGGATTAAATGAAAAAGTTCCTCACGGGTTCGGCGATCGGATGTGGTATCTGGAGGGAAACTTTATGAGCGCGCCAGAAGCGATGAGCCTCAGCCATATCCGGAGAATGAGATAATCAATTGGCAACCGGGCAGTTCTATAGTACTTGTAAAGGATTTGTCGGTAGTAGTACAAAGTACCTTCGCTTTGCGGGTCATCTTCGCTCTTGACTGAGAGGCACAAAGGGCGCAAAGTCGACTGAAGCCCTTTTTTCGGGGTCGAAATCGTCCTCTATTAGACTCAGCTCTTCTACAAGCGGTATTTTTCAAATGAGGAAGGGCACATAGCCCAGGATATTTTTTGTCATTTGTTGGCTTTATCGCTTTGGGGCTTTGCAAAGCCGTGACAAGTCCTGATCAACTCAAAAAGGTCGCGTTGTGCGCGAAAGCAGTAGTGATAACGCTGAGTCATAACGGCACTAAGTGATCACCTTGCAAATTAAAAAAAGCATCTTGAAGTTTTTATGCTTTTCGCTGTAATCTGAGATCTTTGGCATTGTATAACGCTGGGACCTATCTTAGACGCTATGCTCCATGGACCAAGTGGATAATGTAAATTCACGTGCCACGCACTTCTCTTCTGGCGGAGCCTTCAAAAATCATATACCCTTCTCTGTCAGGAAGCAGAAGTACTTGAATGCGACCACGAAGCTATAATTGTAAATCTTTTTTACTAGCTGAGGCCAAAGTTCTCATCGCGTTAAGAAGTAATGCCTAAAAGCGGTTTATTCATAGTTGTAGAACGATGAGAGCACCGTATTTGTACGGTTGGTTCCTCAGCAACCGTCAAGGATGAGTCTTTCAGTGCGGTCACTGAGCTCGAGATGTGAGATCGCTTTTCCAAAGGATATCAAGAATCATTTTTACCACTTACTAATGAAATATCATGATGCTGTGACAATAGACCCGCCACGCGCGTAAACCCTGGATCGGGAGTGCGTCATTAGACCGACTTGTTTCTATCAAATGTCCATGTCCCTTACCAAAAGAGAAAGGTGTCGTCAAAGATGCCTTCTACCGTTTGCGTATCTCTCTACCCGGCACCTACCTTCAGTGTCAGAAAGGCGAACAGATAATGTCGAGCTATGCATGCTCATGATAAGCTTAACGCAGCAATTAATCTCGCGCAATCGCTCTTGTCTGAAAAAGCGTGCCACAGAACTAATAATTAGCTGCACTTTGTTCAGTGTCCTTGATCTGGTTGATGGTGCTTATTGATTGCACACAAAGACTGCAATATCCCTCTCCATGAGGTGAAGGCACAGTGTGGGATGTTTTGGGAGCAGGTCATGCTACAACTACTGGCTGACATGGATCTGGTGATGCCGCTGTTCGAGCCGCATGCGTATGCACAAGCATATTTTGCCAAAAAATTATCAATAATAAAAAAGGGCATGAAAAGTCAAAACTAAACATTCTTGAGTAGTGGTCGAGCGAATGCGCTTGAGCTTAGCATTTTGCCAATATAAGCTAGTGTAATTGACGAAATCCCGAAACATTACTACACAGGGCTGATTTCCATCTATAACAAACGGAGCCAGCAAGCCATGTTGGCAAAACAACACTTTCTCGGGAAAGCTTAGCTGTATTCGCACCGATTACGGTATTGCAGACGACGGTACGATATCAATCATACTTAGATAATAATAAATTACAACAACCCTGACGCATCTGTTCGAAAGAAAAAGTACGTCCTTATGGATGCCAGCACTGGCAGTCTGAATCAAGGTGCCGACGCATACGACAACGGTTTTACATGTTAGCATATTTAGACGTGTGCACCAACGTACTCGTCCGTTTATACATTCTAGGCTGCCAGTACGATGCAGTCATATCATGTACGGCAATAGTATTCGGTACTTGATAGTTAGACCATATGTACCACCACACGCTGACTGATTTCGGAAAAACGGACTGGGGTAAAACTAGAGGTGTAAACGTGCAGCCATCAATTCGATAAGGCGGCGTCTAGGCTCATTAACTCGATGTCTTAAAACTTTCAGCACGCAACACATATCGCGTCTGACCCGTACGCTGTACAGAACGCCTTATCAAATGGCGACGTCATCAGCGTGACATTCGACAATAAATTTGGGGGTGAAGCGTAAGCGCATCCGCCACCACATTGAGCCAGCACAGCTTGTTTCTTTTGTTGAAAGAATACTTGGCGATAAAAACACTGTGCCATTTTATGTAAGAAATGAGGCGACGACGTTGCGCTCGCAGCGATGCGTGATCTACACAGATCAGAAACGGTGTATGCCGAGCAAAGCTGGTGAGAAGCAAAATGCAATTTCGCATTTTGCTCACCAGCATCTGCTTAAAATAAAGCGCAGTCTGTGGCAAAGGCTGAAGAGGCATAAATAACAAAAAAACAAACATGAGATGGCCGAGCAGCTTTGGACGAGAAGATATGAGACGCGGCTTTAAAGGCTTCTCAGCCTAAAAAAGCCACTTTCTCAG